GGGGAGCTGGGAGGGTGTTGGGGGGGGGTGGGTGCTGAGGGTCCCCATAGGATGCTGGGAGGGTGCTGGGGGGGTGTGGGTGCTGAGGGTCTCTGTGGGGAGCTGGGAGGGTGTTGGGGTGGTCTGGGTGCTGAGGGTCTCCATAGGGTGCTGGGATGGTGCTGGGGGGGTCTGGGTGCTGATGGGCTCCATGGGGTGCTCCTGGGGTGCTGGGGGCTCCTGGGTGCTGAGGGTCTCTGTGGGGAGCTGGGAGTGTGCTGGGGGGGTGTGGGTGCTGAGGGTCTCCATAGGGTGCTGGGAGGGTGCTGGTGGGGCCTGGGCGCTGAGGGTCTCTGTGGGGAGCTGAGGGGCTGCTTGGGGGCTCTGGGTTCCAAGGGGTTCCATGGGGTGATGAGTGGATTCTGGGGATATCTGGGTGCTGAGGGTCTCCGTGGGGTGCTGCTTGGGTGCTGGGGGGGTCTGGGCTCCAAGGGGTTCCATGGCTTGCTGCTTGGGTCCTGGGGAGGTCTGGGTGCTGGAGGTCTCCGTGGGGTGCCTAGGGGGTGCTGGGGGTATCTGGGGGCTGGGGGTCTCCATGGAGTGCAGGGGATGTGCTGGGGGGCCATGGGCGCTTATGGCTGGGGGTATTGGGGGCTGGGGGTCTCCATGGAGTGCAGGGGATGTGCTGGGGGGCCATGGGTGCTTATGGGCTCCATGGGGTGCTGGATGGGTGCTGGAAGGGTCTGTGCACTAGGAGTGTCCTTATGGGGCTGAGTGGGTACTGGGGAGCTCTGGGTACTGGAGGGCTCTGGGGGGCCCTGGGAGGGGATGCTAGAGCCTGGACCCAGTTGGACTGCAAGGGCAGGAGGGGCTGCTGGCATCAGGGTGGGGTTCTGTGATAGAGAGGGTGAAGGGGCCTCTGTGGGGGGAGCAGAGACCCCAGCAGGGCTTGGGTCTGGGTCTGCACCTGGGGAGGGAAGGGACACAGAGGTCTGTGAGGCCCCTGAACTGCCATCTCCAGCTCCCTTCGCCCTGGGTACCCATCCATCCATCCACCAACCCACCCATTCATCCATCCACCAGCCACCCATCCAGCCACCCATCCTTCCATCGATGCATGCACCCATCCACCCATCCATCCATCCACCCATCCATCCATCCATCCACCCATCCATCCATCCATCCAACCATTCATCCACCCACCCACCCACCATTCATCCATTCATCCATCCAACCATCCATCCATCCATCCATCCATCCACATCCATCCATCCAAACACCCACCCGTTCCTCTTTCCTTGCCATCCATGCTTCCATTCTCCAACACATCCTCCGTTGCCATCCATCCATCAGTCCATCCACCCTTTCTCCTAACTTTCTGTCCTCCCCTCCCTCCACCTTTCTGTCCATTCAATCATCCCTTCCCCTCTTGGTCTATGCATGTGTAGTCTCTACTCTCTTTCCACCCACCCCAGCCCTCCAACATTTCAGCCTTTTCCTGAAAATTTCTTCCAAGAAATTTCTTGCTTAGTACCATCTGGATGCAGATCTGCGGGAGGATGCGTGCTCCTCATGGTAGCTTCTGGACCAGGTTCGGCTCCAGGATGTACGCTCCATGTGGTAACATTTGGACTCAGTTCTGCTGGGGGATGTGTGCTCCTCATGGTACCATCTGGACCTGGTGCAGCTGCAGGATGCATGCTCCTCAGGATATCATCTGGACTGAAATCTGCTAAGGAACCTGGGCTCCATGTGGTATCATCTGCATCCAGTTCTGCTGAAGGACGTGCATACAGTGTGGCACCACTTAGACCAGGTTCTGCTGTGGGATATCCACTCCACATGGTATCATCCAGACCCCTTTCTGATGAAGAATGTGTGCTCTGCATCCTACCATCTAGACCCAGTTCAGCTGGATGATGAGTGCTCCTCATGGTACCTTCAGGACCTTGTTCTTCTGCAGGACTTGTGCTTGTCATATCTTCAGGACCTGGTTCTGCTGAAAGATGTGTGCTCCTCATGATACCTTCTGGATCTGTTTCTGCTGCACTATGTGTGCTCATTGTGGTGTGTTCAGGACCTTGTTCTGCTGGAGGATGTGTGCTCCATGTGGTATGGTCTGGATCCAGTTCCACTGGAGGATGTGTGCTCCTCATGATACCTTCTGGATCTGTTTCTGCTGCAGGATATTTGCTCCATGTGGTACCATCTGAATCCAGTTCCACTGGAGAATGTATGCTCCATATGGTACCACCTGAAACCAGTTCCACTGGAGGACCTGTGCTCATCATGGTACCTTCTGGACCTGGTTCTGTTCCAGGATGTGTAGTACTCATGGTACTTTCAGAACCTGGTTCTGCTGCAGGACGTATGATCCTCAGGGTATCATCTAGACCAAAATCTGCTGAAGAACGTGTTGTCCATTTGGGACCATCTGCATCCAGTTCTGCTGGAGGACGTGTGCTCTTCATGGTACCTTCAGGACCTGGTTCTCCCAAGTTCTGGTTACTCCACGTGGTATCACCTGTTGGGACAACCATGGTGGGGGCCAACTCCTGCCTTGCTTTGGGCCTGGTGCCTTGTGTGGTACTAACCAGATCCTGTCCCACTTTGGCTTGAGTGGCATCAATGGGATCATGTCCTGCTGGGTGTTGGGTGAGCTGGATGGCAACTGCCACATCTTTCCCTGTTCGCAGTTGGGTGGCACCAGGTGGATCCTGCCCTGCCTTGGGCTTGGTCCCAACCAAAACTCGTCCTGGGGGTTTCCTGGTGGTCTGGTTGGCACCTGCCAGAATCTGTTCAGCTTTGGGTCGGGTGATCCTTACAATACTGGTTGGATCCCGCCCTGCTTTGGGACGGGTGATACGGATGGTACCGACTGGATCCCGTCCTGCCTTGGACCTGTTGGTGCCAGCTGGACCCCATCCTGCTTTGGTCCTGTTGGTGCCAGCTGGACCCCATCCTGCCTTGGACCTGTTGGTGCCAGCTGGACCCCACCCTGCCTTGGACCTGTTGCTGCCAGTTGGATTCCATCCTGCTTTGGACCTGTTGGTGCCAGCTGGATCCCATCCTGCCTTGGATCTGGTGGTACCAGATGGATCCCGTCCCACTTTAGACCTGGTGGCACCAGCTGGATCCCGGCCTGCCTTGGGCTTGGTGCTCTGGATGATACCGGCTGGATCCTGTTCTGCTTTGAGTCGGGTGATCCTGATGATACGAATGGGATCTCGTCCCGCTTTGGCCTGCGTGGCACCAATTCGACTTTGTCCTGTGGGGCGCTGGGTGCCAGGGGTGGCACCAGTTGAATCCCGTCCTGTGGGCTGCTGGGTGCTGCAGGTGACACCAGTTGCATCCCATCCTGTGGTGCGCTGGGTGCCAGGGGTGGTGTTGGGCAGACCCTGTCCTACAGGGTGCTGGGTGCTGCTGGCCGGTGGAGAGGTCCCCATTGGTGACAGCAGGTCCTCTTGCCCTGCAGCAATAAGAAGGTCGCTCAGCCCAGCTCTGGAGGGGCATTCCTTGGCGACAGGGTCTCCGGGACATGGGGAGGGTCCCCAGCAGGCAGGGGAGGTGCATGGGGGACGTCCATGCCTCCCAAACCTGCTCCAGCCCCCAGTCCCGCCGCTGGGGCGGCAAAACATGGAGTCCCACCTTGTAGCCGACCACCCGCTGGCTCCCTGGGACTTTGTAGAGGGGAACAGGGACCCCCATCCCCACTTCTCCTACCCTGACGGGCTGTCCTTGCTGGGGGCGGGCTGGCTGCGGTGCTCCGGGGAGAGGCGGGAACGCGGGACCGCGCAAAGGGGAGCACCCGGGCCGGCTTCATCCATGGCTGGTGGCGAGTGGGCTCTGCAGGATGGACATCCAGGGCGGCCAGCTCATCTGCAGGGGGAGGAGACCAGCGTGAGCCCTGCAGTGCGTGCACTGCGTGTGCGCTGCATAGATGCTGCACCTGGCCTATGCATGCACGGCACGCACGCGATGCAACCTGCCCGCTCATGCACTGCACAGACTCGGTGTCCCCGTGCACGGCACACAGACACACGCTGCACACTGTCCTCGCATGCACCGCACAGACTCGGTGTCCCCATGCACTGCATGCACACACTGCACCCTGCCCACGCATGCACTGCACACATGCACGCACTGCACATGCACACAATACACAGACTCTGTGTCCCTGTGCGCTGCACACATGCACTGCACCCTGCCCATGCGTGCACTGCACAGACTCGGTCTCCCCGTGCACTGGACATGCACACTGCACCCTGCCTGTGCATGCACTGCACACATGCATGCACTGCACAGACTGTGTGTCCTTGTCCACTGCACGCGCACACTGCACCCTGCCCACACATGCACTACATGCACGCACTGCAGCCTGCCCACGCATGCACTGCCCACATGCACGCACTGCACAGACTCGGTGTCCCTGTGCACTGCACATGCACACTACACCCTGCTCACGCACATGCTGCACACATGCACTGCACCCTGCCCACACGTGCACTGCACACATGCACGCACTGCACAGACTCGGTGTCCCTGTGCACTGCACATGCACACTACACCCTGCTCACGCACATGCTGCACACATGCACTGCACCCTGCCCACACATGCACTGCCCACGTGCATGCACTGCACATGCACACACTGCACAGACTCTTCCCCGTGCACCAGACTCTTCCCCGTGCACTGCACACACGCACTGCACCCTGCCCATGCATGCACTGCACAGACTCGGTGTCCACATGCACTGCACCCTGCCTGTGTATACACTGCACATGCACACACTGCACAGACTCTGTGTCCCTGTGTGCTGCACACACACACTGCAACCTGCCCACGTGTGCACTGCACGCACACACTGCACCCTGCCCACACACGCACTACATGCACGCACTGCAGCCTGCCCACTCATGCACTGCCCACATGCATGCACTGCCCACATGCACGCACTGCACAGACAGTGTCCCTGTGCACTGCACACGCACACTACACCCTGCCCACGCTAATGCTGCACACATGCACTGCACCCTGCCCACACATGCACTACATGCATGCACTGCAGCCTGCCCATGCATACACTGCCCACATGCATGCACTGCACATGCATGCAATGCACAGACTCTTCCCCACGCACTGCACATATGCACTGCAGCCTGCCCACGCACGCACTGCACACATGCACACACTGCACAGACTCTGTTTCCCTGTGCACTGCACCCACGCACTGCACCCTGCCCATGCACATGACGCACACATGCACTGCACCCTGCCCATGCATGCACTGCCCACGTGCATGCACGGCACATGCACGCACTGCACAGACTCGGTGTCCCTGTGTGCTGCACACACGCACTGCACCCTGCCCATGCACATGCTGCATGCACACTGCACCCTGCCCACCCGTGCACTGCACGCACGCACTGCACAGACTTGGTGTCCCCGTGCACTGCACATGCCCACCGCCCACACACGCACTGCATGCATGCACTGCACCCTGCCCACACACGCGCTGCGCACGCACAGCACTCTCCCTGCTGCCGCTTGTAGCACAGCCACACTGCAGGACCACGCACTCACGGGGTGTGCGATCCAGCCACAGCATCCCCGTTCCCACCCACTGCCCCGGGACCACTGCACGGGTACGGGGACTGCGGGCCCACTACATCACCCCTGCGTGGGCATGGCCCCCAGCCCCCCGCATCACAGGTACCTGCGCAGACAACCGCAGCATCCTCCCGGTGCTGGCAGTTGGTGACACCCCAGGGGGAAGCCGGGCATCCCAGCAGCGACGACTCGTTCCCTTGGCACCGCACATCATCCAGCCAGATGGGCCCGGTGCCCTCGCCAAAAAACGCTGCCCGGGGTGCATCGAGGGCGGCCCCGCAGCCCAGCTGCCGGCAGACCACTGCTGCGTCCGGCAGCCCCCACAGGTCGTCACAGACGGTACCCCAGTGCCCGGCGTGGAAGATCTCCAGCCGTCCGGCGCAGCGCCCCGCAGCCCCCACCAGCCGCACGGTGGTACCCCCTGCGAGAGAGGCCGAGGTCAGCGCCACCGTGGGCCCTGGGGACCCATGGGTGGGGGGTACCTGTGCACACCAGTCCCGTGCACAACCTACCTGGGCATGCCACGACCGTGCACACCGTGACTGTGCACACTGTACCTGTTCATGCTGTACCCATGCACACTGTGCCCATGCACACCATACCTGTTCATGCTGTACCTGTGCACACCATGACCATGCACAATGTAGCTGTTCATCCGGTACCCATGCACATCATGACCGTGCACACCGTACCTGTTCATCCTGTACCTGTGCACACCATACCCATGCACACCATACCTCTTCATGCTGTACCCATGCACACCGTGCCCATGCACACCGTACCTGTTCACACCTGTTCATGCTGTACCTGTGCACACCATGCCTGTGCACACTGTCGCCGTGCACACTGTACCTCTTCATGCTGAACCTGTGCAAACCGTGCCCGTGCATGCCATACCTGTACATGCTGCACCTGTGCACACCATGACTGCACGCTGTGACCGTGCACACCGTACCTGTGCACACCATACCTGTGCACATCATGCCTGTGCACACCTTACATGTACATGTTGTACCTGTGCACACCATAACTGTACACACTGCAACTGTGCACACCGTACCTGTGCACACCGTGACTGTACACACCTGTTCATGCTGTGCCTGTGCACACTGTGCCCATGCACACTGTACATGTGCATGCTGTACCTGTGCACACCGTGATATGCACACCATACCTGTACGTGCTGTACCTCTACACACCGTACCTGTGCATGCTATACCTGTGCACACTGCAACTGTGCACACCGTAACGGTACACACCGTACCGGTACATGCTGTATCTGTGCACACTGTGACATGCACACCATGCCCATGCATGCCGTACTTGCAAATGCTGTACCTGTGCACGCTGTAACTGTACACACTGTACCTGTACATGCTGTACCTGTGCACACCGTACCTGTGCACGCTGTAACTGTACACACTGTACCTGTTCATGCTGTACCTGTGCACACAATGCCTGCGCACACCATATGCAACCGTAGCTTTGCCTGCTGAGCCTGTGCACACCGGTACCTGCGCGTGCTGCAGTCCACGGTGCTTCACTTGCACACACTCTGTCTGCGTGTGTTCTACCCGTGCACATTATCCCCTTACAGGCTGTGCCCGAGCACGCTGTGACCTGTACGCGCTGTACTCGCACACACTGCCGCTGCACATGCTCTACCCGCGCACACCGTACCTGCGCACGCAGCACCCGTGCACGCTGTAACGGGTGGCTGGGTGACGGCGGGCGGTGGCGGTGGTGGCGTTGGGGTCCAGGGAGGTTCGGTGGTGCCGAGGGGCTGGAAGCGGTGAGCTGTGGGGGGCGGTGGTGAGGCGAGAGGTCCCCAGCTCGGCCACCTGCTCACCCCCCCACCCGCCGCAGCCCACCTGAGCAGACGGCGCTGGCATCCTCTTCGTGGGCGCAGACGTGGGGACGCCAACCCCGGTGCCGGCACAGGGCCAGGCGCTCCTCGGTGCCCCGGCACCGCAACCCGTTGAGCCAGATGGGACCCGAGCCCTCTCCAAACCAGGCTTCCGGGGGGGCGGCCAGGGCAGTCCCCCAGCCCAGCTGCCTGCAGACCACCACTGCGTCCGGCAGCCCCCAGTCGTCGTCGCAGACGGTGCCCCAGTGCCCGTCGTGCTGCACCTCCACTCGCCCGGCACAGCGCCCGGGGCCCCCGGCCAGCCGCACCGGGAACGGCCCTGGGGACAGCCCGCACTCAGGCACCAGGGCGAACAGCACCCACCAACACCCACTGGGACCTACCAGGACCCTCTGGGACCCCTGCCCACACTGGGACCTACCGGGTCCTGCTGGGAAGTACTGGTAGCCCTGCGCACACTGTAACCTGCTGAGTCCCACTGGGAGCTTCTGCACCCCTTGAGTCCTGCTGGGACCCATGCACCCACTGGGACCCACTGGGCTCCTTTGCACACACTGGGACCTGCTGGGACCCACCCAGGCCTCACTGGAACCCACTGGGAGCCCCAGATACACTGGGAACCACTAGGATCATTTGCACACACTGGGTCCCACCAGGACTCAGTGGGACACCTCTAGGCTCCAGGGACCCCTGCACAAACTGGGACCTGCTGAGTCCTGCTGGGACCTACTGGTAGCTCTGTGCACACTGGGACCAGCTGGGACCTATTCACCCACTGGGATCCACTGGGCTCCTTTGCTCACACTGGGATCTGCTGGGAGCCACCCAGGACTCACTGGAACTCACTGGGAGCCCCAGATACACTGGGAACCACTAGGATCATTTGCACACACTGGGACCAGTGGGAGCCCTGCACACACTGGGAGCTGCTGGAGTCCTTCGCACACACTGGGTCCTGCTGGGACCCACTGGGAGGCCTGCACACACTGGAGCTCGTTGGGATCCTTTGCACAAACTGGGACCCACTGGGATCATTTGCACATGCTGGGACCTGCTGGGACCCACTGGGATCTCCTGTACATCCCGGGACCCCCTGGGATTCAATGGGACACCTGCGGGCTCCAGGGACCCCTGCACAAACTGGGACCTACTGGAACCCACTGGGAGGTTCTGTACACATTGGGACCCACTGGGACCCTCCAGGCTCCAAGGACCCCTGCACACACTGGGACCTGCTGGGTCCTGCTGGGACCTACTGGTACCCCTGCACACACTGGGATCCACTGGGATTCTTTGCAGAAACTGGGACCCACTGGGATCCTTTGCACAAACTGGGACCCACTGGGATCCTTTGCACACACTGGGACCTGCTAGGAGCTACCAGGACCCACTGGAATACACTGGGACCCCTGTACAGACTGGGACCTGCTGGGACCCACGGGGACCCCTGCATGCCTGAGGGACTCCTCCCCACACTGGGACCCACTGGGATCATTTACACACACTGGGACCTACTGGAAGCCCTACCCATACTGGGACCTGCTTGGACCTACTGGGACCCTTTGCACAAACTAGGACCCCCCTGAGAGCTCCGATTCACTGGGACTCACGGGGAGCCACTGGGCCAGGTCCCCCCCTCGCCCCCACACTGCCCCACCTCCCCTCCCCCACCCCCCCGGTACCTGTGCTGCGGGGTCCCAGCAGCCCCACTGGAGCCCGAGTGGAGAGGATGAGTGGGGGGACGCAGGTGTCCGGGCACCCCACCCCGTCGCAGGCTCCCCGGGGGGACGGGGGGTCCGTGGGGTACCCAGCAGCGGGGACAAGTGCCCAGTGCCCAGAGCCCAGTGCCCCGCGACCACAGACCAGTGCCCCACAGCCAGTGCCCTTCCCAGTGCTCCCTGACCAGTGCCCAGTGCCTGATGGTCAGTGCCCTTCCCAGTTGCTTGTGACCACTGCCCGGTGCCTTGCCCAGTGCCCAGTACACATTGTCCAGTGCCCAGTGCCCTTCCCAGTGCCTAGTGCCCCAAGCCCAGTGCTCTTCCCAGCGCCCAATGGCCTGTGACCAGTGACCAATGCCCCGTGACCCACAACCATCACTGACCAGTGCCCAGAACCCTTCCCAGTGTCCATGACCAGTGCGCAGTACTGCATGTCCAGTGCCCAGTGCCCAGTACCCCATGCCCAGTGGCCTCCTGCAGTGCCCAGTGCCCTTCCCAGTGCCCTGTGACCATTTACCAGTGCCCTTCCCAGTGTCCTGCCCAGTGCCCACTGCCCCATGCCCAGTGGCCTCCTGCAGTGCCCAGTGCACCATCCCCAGTGCTCTGCCCAGTGCACGGTGACCAGTGACTAGTGCCCCGTGACCAGTGCCCTTCCCAGTGACCCATGACCATCATCGACCAGTGCCCAGTGCCCCATCCCCAGTGCCCTTCCCAGTTCCTTGTGACCAGTGCCCCATATCCAGTGCCCCGTGCCCTCCCCAAGCCCAGTGCCCAGTGCCCAGCAAGCAGTACCAGTGCCCAGTGCCCTTCCCAGTGCCCAGTGCCCCCAAGCAGCGTCCAGTGCCCAGTGCCCAATGACCAGTTCCACGTGACCAGTGACCAGTGCCTTTCCCAGTGGCTGGTGCCCTGTGACCAGTGACTAGTGCTCTTCCCACTGACCCATGACCATCACTGACCAGTGCCCAGTGCCCTTCCCAGTTCCTCATGCCCAGTGCCCCATATCCAGTGCCCAGTGCCCTTCTCTGTTCCCTTCCCCATGCCCAGTGCCCAGTGTCCTTCCCAGTTCCCAGAGCGCAGTGCCCCATGACCAACAACCAGTGCCCAGTCCCCAGTGCCCAGTCCCCAGTGGCCCCCATGCCCACTGCCCAGTGCCCTTCCCACTGCCCATCACAGCCCACCCTACCCAGTTCCCCTCCCAGTGACCAGTATCCAGGACAGCCCAGAACATCCAGTGCCCTTTCCAAGTGCCTCACAGCCTTCCCAGTATCCCGTACAGCCCAGTGCCCAGTTGCCAGCACAGCCCACAGTGCCCCATGCCCAGTGCCCACAATGGCCCATGGTGCCCAGTGCAATTCCCAGTGCCCTTCCCAGTGCCCAGTGCCCCATGCCCAGTGCCCAGCATAGCCCATGGTGCCCAGTGCAATTCCCAGTGCCCCGTTCCCAGTGCCCTATGCCCTGCCCAGACCCAGTGCCCTTCCCAGTGCCCGGCACCACCCATGGTGCCCAGTGCCCACCCCCCCGCAGTGTCGCACAGGATGAACTGGGCACAGTGCCCCATGCAGTGCCCAGTGCTGCATCCAGCCCCTCTGCAGTGCCCCTGCAGTGCCCTGCCCAGTGCCCCCCCCAAGCAGTGCCCTTCCCCTCCAGTGCCCAGTGCAGTGCCCGGTCCTATGCAGTGCCCAGGGCAGTGTCCAGACCCTCCCGTGCAGTGCCCACTGCAGTGCCTGTGCAGTGCCAGTGCCACATCCAGCACTGTGCCATGCCCGTGCAGTGCAGTGCCCGCGCAGTGCCCAGGGCAGTATTCAACCCCCCTCCCAGCATCCACATCATACCCAGGACACACACGCACCCACCCCGTGCAGTGCCCGTGCAGTGCCAGTGCAATGCAAGTGCAGCGCCCAGTATCATATTCAACATCCCCTCCCAGCACCCACACCATACCCAGGCCATATGCACACCAACCCCGTGCAGTGCCCACACTGACCCCCTGCCAGTGCCAGTGCAGTGCAGTGCAAGTGCAGTACCAGTGCCAGCACAGTGCCTGTGGAGCGCCCGGTGCTGCATTCAACCCCCGCCCCCCACACCCACACCATACCTGGGTCATATGCACACCCACCCTGTGCAGTGCCAGTGCCTGTACCAGTGCAGTGCCCATGCAGTGCCAGTGCAGTGCCCGTGTAGTGCCTAGGGCTATATTCAACCCCCCTCCCAGCACCCACACCATACCTGGGCCATAAGCACACCAACCCTGCGCAGTGCCCGTGCCAGCCCCATGCCAGTGCCAGTGCAGTGCCAGTGCCAGTACTAGTGCAGCGGCAGTGCCAGTGCAGTGCAGTCCCTGTGCAGTGCCCGGTGCCGCATTCAACCCCCCTACCAGC